AACGGAAAAAGTTCATTTCGTGGTAAAGGAGAACAAATCTGAGGTAGAAACAACCACGTTAAGAGGGTGTAGTGCTTCTTTAGTGATTGATAGGGAACTACATTTGTGAGTTTTTATGGTCTACAACTTTGCATGATGCACGCATCTTTCGGACATGATTTGGGCAGAGAAACGTTCGAGAAGCCACCGTAAGCAAATACACTATAGATTTCCGTATAGACTGTACATTGCTCTTGTGTTTGATCACGCAAACTCACAGATCAGCTCGGCTAAAATTCTATTCCATCTGGTTATGCCGCATCGGAAGAAAGCAGGCATGTGATATGAAATAAGAGTTGCCTTGTGATATCAGCTGTGAGGATCAGGATCACAGGACAGAATTATATTTTTCGGGATGCTCGGAATTATACGACAGTATATCCCTAGGTAGTGACTACTACTGAGCAACAAAATCGATCGATCGATCGATCGATCGGCTACTGGATCAATCAACTGGCAGCAGACTTATTTACATCTAGACTGGTGGTAACAGTCTACTGTGTTTACTTGATATATCGAATATCCTGTCATAGTGTTAAAGTAGCAAATAGATAATACACTGTTTATCTTGAAGAGAACATTGATAAAACGATCTCATCGATTGATTTGAAGGAGTCGGAAACTTTTGGTGTTTATATGGATGCGATGAACAGGCAAAGGTGTTTCATTTCAATATGTTTTTCTTATTTTCGTCCAAATAACTTCAAATTTTCAACACCGGGTAAGTCTGTTTGATCTCCCTTTTTCAGAACTAGCCCATTGATGAATCAATACTATGACTTGGTGATTTGTTTGTGAGCTATAGATGTCACTAACCGCAACAAACGTGTCTAAAGTGTCTTTATGGAATATTTCACAATAAGTAGAATATGAATCACTCGACAAAACTCCCCGTGGAAGCGCGTCAACCGGTTTCGCGGTTCTGGCTGCTCGTCAGGACTGTGTAGTAATGATTCATCAGTGGACTGGTTCTAAAAGAGCTGTCCAAACAAATTTGTAAGCTGTTACCAATAAGGTTATTGTGACGAAAATGAACTTTCTGGGTATAAGTACGTGAATGAAGCGAAGAAAGATTGTCACGTACGAATGATTGACGAGCGGCAGGAACCGTGAAACCGGTAGTATGTTTCAAAGGAAATTTTGTGGAGTTATTCGTATACTAATTATATATGTTATATTGTATATTATATATGCACACCAATCCAAGTTCAAATTGTGTTCCAAACAAATCACAGTACAGTGATCTTCATAAAAAGATAATCGTTTTATGATTTGCTCGTATGCGAAACACACCAGGTTGCCAGGGTTACAATAAGTGAATGTACTTGGGGGGGATTCACAATCCGAGCATTTGGATAACCGAATCCTAATCCGTAAAGCAGTGGGTCATGGTTTGGAAATCGTTATCCACTTGGGATCAGTGTTTAATCCATCGCATCATATGGTCTTTGAACGAGGTCAAGCGTTCAAAGTTCCCCAAAGCACACACACCTCACAATCCAATCAAGACGATGACCATTGCCATAACCAGACAGGGTTGGGTGTGATTCGTACGCCTGTTCTTAAAATTGGGGATTGCAACAATTACTGGAGGTGGTTCACCGACCCGGATATTGTTTGATTCACTATATCTCTATTACACATTAGTGATGGACAGCTTGTCCGTCACTTTGTTCAAATGTGACACAATTGGTTTCAAGTCGTTTGCTGCTGACAGTTTTTGTACTGTGGATCACTTCACAAAGCACTAGATCTTCTTGGAACAGGCCATGTCATAGCATGGTGTAAAGAGGAGACCAACACAATGAATCTTCGGTTCTCTATGATTAAGACTACTCATCATTAGGCTCCCCTGAGAATGTATTCCATATTCAAGGTAAAATATTTGGACAAAAGCTCGTAATTGAATCTCAGTTACAGGCACTCGGGTACAGTAATCGATAATCTTATTGAGAGAATGTGATACAGTTTTAAACAGATCGCAGTTTGGTTGTATCACCAACCTTGGAGCCTATTCAGACGATAGTACGGGTTTCAAGCTGTTCCGAGCTACACGGATCAAATAGGGAGAAAGAAATTTTGGTTGTCTATAGAAAGCGAATAGAATGACCTCAAATAGTGCAAAGTCAAATCGATTACAATCGTATCTCAGCTAAAATAAAATCAATACACCCTGATGGGGTGAAGGTCATTGTGTAAGATAGGCAGAATTTTGAACTAGCTATGATCGGAACTACTACGGTCATATAACATAGTTCGCACATATATACATGTATGCTTTGATTATTGGTTTCTCATCAAGGTCTATCGATCAGTCAAACGGGAAAACTCGATGTGAAGGATAATTGAAAAAACGAACCACAACCCGTACCTTTTCCGTCCCTTCCCCAATTGCATCTCGTCCCAGGAATCCTTTGTTCGTTCACAGCTCCCTTTCCTGAAAAAAAAACAATTAATAATTACACATTGAGTTACATCCACATTGTCACTTATCCAGCAAGACTACTTATAAGTAGCTTTGGGTGTTACCGTAAAATTTATTTTCATTATTTGTTAGCTATTGAAAATCAACACTTTACTCCAGTCGAGCTATGCACAGTTGTTGATCAATAATATTCTTATCGTACTGAACAGATATCTCAAGACCTAAAGGAACGAGGAAACCTGTGAGGAAAAGCACTACAATGGACGATCAAATATATCGTCAAATTTCTCACGAGTCGTCCAATTTGAAGCACACAAATTCCCCATACTGTGCAAAACTTGACAGTTTTTGGACAATGGGCACCAAATCCATGCCAGTGCATCCAGCAACAACAACATACAGAAGAACTCCTGCATCCACGATTCCAAACACAGAGTTCCATTTGGAAAATCACGCGAATGAACATATTTGGTCTAATTTGTGGCACAGTGGTATGCCCGATCGATCATGGCAGATTTGGGGTAATTGTGGTTGGAATGAAACATTCGCCAAAGATTTACCTCCGCTGCATTTGTTTAATGATTTGAATGGTAGCGGTTCACAAATGAAACTGACCGGCTGTGGTGGTACATCACGCCGCGCTGAAAGCACATTCAGACCGGAGCAACAACTGTACCACAGGGATGAGAGGAAAGAGACGAAGTTACCCGTGGAAATCAAACAACAACAACAACAATCCTCTAACCAATCTCCCCAGGGGGCGACTAAAATACCCAGTCTTCATGTGAAACGGTTAGTCCTCGAACCGGGACGAAGCTCGATCATCGAGACGACTGGTCGTTCGAAGCCAGGATCGCTTTCAAACAACACTGGCTATGTTCGTTTAGATACAGGTAATTGATACACTTTTCGTTGATGAGGTCCTGAATTCAGCCGGTTACGTTGGAACTAAACAAAGTTTAGGGAGCTGTGTATTTTGAATTTGATACAATATGTTATTTGGAATAGACTGTCTTCTCACTTTCAGTAACCCAGATATTTTTTTCAATTTGTACAGTTATTAGTTTTGCCAATTTTTGGCGTTCTGTTCGCCCCCCCTCCAGTTTAAGTCGATCCGCATCCATATCAAAAAGTGTAAACCAAACTGGATTGAGCGTGCAAAGACAATGCGCTCTGTCTATCTAGGAGAAATTAAGGGATACTAGATTAATAGTAACATAATCAGTTCATTCGATTCATATAGAGGAGTCGAGGGTAAAAGACTATCGGAAAATCATTCGTATCCTAGTAGATACGGGCTTTAGGAGTATGCAAAATGACTCGGGAGTCTGGGAACTTTCAACGGGGTTATTACCTGTCTTGCTTGTAAAGAGCAGTAAGCATCACTGACCGTTCGGCAACTAGCGAATAACTTAAGCTAAACATTGATGTTGACGAACAACGGATATTTTCTACAACCCAATTTCTGTCATATTTTTTGCCAGATGTTGGAACCGCGCAATATCCGGATCCCCGAGTCGGAGCCAGTTCCGAATTTCTGGCCCGACTCGGTGAATTGCTCAATCTTGAGGAGACCACTAAACGTTGTGAACGGATACGATGGCGTCGACGTGTCAAAAAACGAACGCCATCAATCGGTGCAGGCGGAGACGCGTAAACAACTTGTTCTAAGCCTATCCATCCATCCATCCATCCATCCATCTCTCTCTCTGTCTCTGCCTGTACACGAGATCCCAGTTGTTCTTGTGTTAGGCAGATGCTACTGCTCATCATATCTGTCCATAGTCCACACTCCATCTATGTAAAAAGTAGACCAATGGAACATGTAAATATCATACCGATTAGGTCCAAACATGCGGTAACAGTGTCAGCCGGCCAGTTTGCTTTTGTTTTCTTCTTCCTGTTAGACAGACACGGTCAAATGTAACACACCATTTGACTCGAATCACTGCTTTTGTTAAAGTTGTTGTTGTTGTTGTTGTTGTTGTTGTTGTTGTTGTTGTTGTTGTTGTTGTTGTTGTTGTGAAAAGACCACATTTCGGATGTTCAAACATGATCAGTGCTCAAAATTGATACCGGTTCTTATGGCTTGTCTTTATTATGGTCTGATTCTTCAAACCGACCGCGAAATGTTCACATTAAGCTTTTCGTAGCAAATCGAGAAATTTTAGTTGGTGTTTGGTACGGTGTGATGGGATGTGGTCAAAGTTTCATTATGAGCGATATAACAAGACTAACGCTTACCATGCCTCGTAGGATTTGCACAGAAGGTTTCAAACAGGTTTACGGTTTGATCAGCTGCCCGGTGACCGAATGGGTTCTGCCTGTGAAGTCCTGGGTTCCATCCCCAGTTGGGTCGTTGGATTCGCTCTGCTGATGAGACCCTATCAGATCGAAATAGTTGTACAACAGCGCTGCCTAGTTTTTCATTTCACTCTTCATTTGTTTTATGCACGACTAATCCCCCTTTGAAATAGAGAAAGAAATATGGGGGATCACAAAGTTGTTATCACTTGATTAAACTGATTACGCAACACAATCATTCAGCCATTGTTTGATTTTCC